GGAATTAGTACCCTAGCACAATGCTCCGCACCGGCTCGGGGATAAGAAGGAGAAAACTTGAAAAAATCATACGTTTTTTAACACTTGCCATATGCACTGGGTACTCGCAAATTCAAGACTCGTGTTAGAATTAAAATTTTTTGGAATTACACGTTTAGTACCACTACGGCTGGAAATTGTGCTCGTAAATCTGACATAATGAATCTAAAGACATTGTTGTCTGATATGAAATCTGAGATCTTACTGGAACTAAAGAAAACAATGAGGAAAACAGTCGTCTGTATCAATGATCCAAATACAGTGAAAGGTAAACCAACAAGCCTGTTTCAATAATGTTTAATATAGCGATGCTTTTCAATCGTGTTTATCAAAAAACTTGAAATCAGTGAACTCTGAGAAAATGCGGTACAATAAATACCATCTTGTCCATCTTATGTATATGCTGTGACGTAACCGCATTGACCAAGCTGTTTACGGGCTTATAAGTATACAGGGTGTATCAAAAAAAGTTAATCCAACTTCAACACGCTATTGTACGTGAACTACTCAGTCTATGAACGAATTTTTTTCACATTCGGAAAGATCAGGCTTTTAACTATCTGATGACATGCTTTTAATACCAAATGATGAAAAAATGAGCACATACGAGGCTGATAAAAAATGTTAGTCACAATCGCATATTTTCACCTTTGAGCCTAATTTAAGCAGTGCATAACAAAAGAAAAAACAATTAATCACGAACATGTCACAGCTTGCACTGGTTTTACAACATGTTTATTGCAATTATTTACATTTACATTTTTTAAAAAGAGATTATGCGCCGATGCCTTCAACTTGACCACCATCCCTATCGATACAAAGTTGACATCGCCGCCGCATTGTTCATGGAATGTTCTCCTGATGTGATTTATGCCTACTTAATATGCATATGCGGGTGTTTCATGTTCAAATTCATGTGTCTATAATGATTTATCGACAAAATACTTCAGGCGAGTTTGCATTAAATACCAGACACCTCAACCATTGCATGGTTAGGCATGCGATAGTACAATTTTTTACAGCGAAGTGCAAGCCCGAGGGCGAAATCTTTCTTTAGAAGCAACCTTTAATCTTCCCATTTTTTTGAATGAGTGATTTAGTCGCCCCGATTCACTATGGAGCAATTGCACTTTTGCGGGTTTTCCCCATGCCATTGTCTTTGGGATCAATTGTATTATTTTCTAAAAGACAAAGCATGCACACGGCTGATTTCAGACAAAGGAATCTTGGACTCTTACGACAAATATGAACCCTTTGCGCCACAAAGACAACGCATCAGAAAAAACCCGCAAAAGGATCTATTGAAAACTACTAAATTAAATCGCACTTCTCTTATGATCTTAGCAGATCTGCTAACTCTATCGAGATAGGTGGGTGATTTATTGCGTTTTTTATTCACTTTCGTATTTTTGATAAATTTTTAGTTTATTTCTTCTCCACAGTATTTCTATTTTTTCACATTCTCCAATCGCTTTAAATTTATTTTAGTAGGATTTTGTATTTAACACCAGTTTATACATTGGTTATATGTTACTGCGGATTCTGGTTAAACGTTAAATGTGAATATTTTTCACGTTAATTTTGTTTCGATATAGGGCGTGGCTTTAACGTTCTGTCTTTTTTCGGCATTCTATTTTACACACTTTTGTCAGCAAAGTTTGAATTTTAAACATAAACATTGAATCCACGCCCTAGAAACGTGTTAATGTCTTCATAGAAACTAGAAATGTCATCGCGCAACAGTTAAAATTAAAAAGACATGCAACTTTTCACATTTTAACGGGCTACAAATCCAGAACGCAGCACAACGCGGCGCGATCTTTTAAATTTTTTTATTTTCGAAAGTCAAATAATGCTTTACCTATGAATATGTTCTTGTTGATTATTTAACGGTCGTCAATTTGACTGCTCTGGCGTCGATAGATTCGAAATTTTGCCTCTAGATATGAATTGATGTGCTTCTGAAAACTGAATATTCCTGATGATTTCAGCTATGCATTGTCAGTGTTTTATCCAGTGTATTATAAGATCTGTGGACACTCTTGGCAACTCTTTAAAATTAATAGCGAATTGACAGGATTGAAGGTTAATTAATCAACGATTCTTCAACGATTCAACGATACTTTAACCAACGATTGTTACGGTTTAAATGTCTGTTCACACGATCCAATTTTGTTGGATCCAATTCACTTCTGATGGATGTTTTATAGTCGGTCGCCGAAGGGCGAAAACCACGAAAAACCTACGCGAATATTCATATTTAGGTATTTATGTATTTATGTAAGTAGATAACCCCCCCCATATAGCTAGCAAAGGGTGCCGACACAATAGGTTCACGTGAACAAAAATCACGATTCACGTGGACAAAGACCATGCGTTTGCACGTGGGCATGGGTCTTGGATCATGTGAACAAAGAAGTCATGATTCATGTGGACAATGACCATGAGGTACATGTGAACAGGGATCATAGATCATGTGGGATGGAGATTTTCCATCACGTGAATAGGAATCAATCATTGAACATGTGTACAGTAGGATGCATTTAGAGTGTAAATGAGATCATTTACAATTAATTTAATATGTTATAAAATTTATAAGATAATTCACAAATTTCTTCTGCTTTTGCCTCGTTCACGGAGATCTACCCCAGCCAAGAAGCATTTAATAATTTTAATATAGTAGCTATAAACTTTTTTTTTAAAAAACCCCGACTATTCTTACATGGAATATTTCGGTTTACAAACACAAAAAATATAGTCCAAGAAATACTCCAAACATTTTGCTAAATTACTTCCTTTCTGCCGAGTATACGTCCATCAATTGCAAGTATGGCAGCGCGAATATTAGTTCAAATTCTGTTTTGTGGATTTGCGGTTCCTTAGCACATCATATGCTTCGCCAACTGCTTGCCAAAGCTTAGTTTTTTTCTTCTCTGCTTTTGCCTCATTTACGCAGATCCATCAACCAACCGATCTGGGCTCCTTTTGCTGATTTTTTCAATTTTAACTTCCTCTGTATGAACTTTATTATAATGTTAGCCATAATCTCATCTCTGGCTAAAGTTTTCACTATTGTTAAATCAGCACCGTACATTTGTTTAAATGAATGAGTCATTTTAGAATGAGTACATTGGTGCTTAAGAAATGTAAATGAAGAGATTTCGCTCGGTTGCACACATCAAGTCAGATCCTGTTTACACTGTACCCGATTCGCATGGTCACGACATCAGTTTAAGTTGTTTTACCGTATATTTGTCTCCCAGAATTTTTGTCAGATCATGCTAAAGTAACCATACTACCAAACGTTTGGAGGTGAAACTCCCGTTGACATGATTAATTTTGATGTCGTGACCATGCGAATCGGGACTAAGAGGCTACTTTTGGGATGTAAATTAGGCGCTTGAAAAATTAAATGCGTGGGAAGAGCACGTTGTGGATGTAAATGAGGCCGGCTAGCAAATGATATGCATGGAGAAAGCACGTTGTGGATGTAAATGAGGGGCGTGCGAAATTAGACAAACGTGGGTATGCTAAAGAGGAATGTGAGACCACATGAACAGAGTGTGCAAGTGGTGTGATTAACACGTCGTCTACGCAAATGAATAATCCTTGAAAGTAATATGGGTTACAATTTTGTGGAATGAGCCGATGAGCACATGTGTATAACTGCTCATAATTGCTCGTAACTGCTCATGAGAACATGCTCAACCGCTCGTAGACATTTTTAATACCAAACTATTAAGTAGTATTAATATCAGATTTGGGTAGATTTTGAAGGCAAAATGGGTTGCAATTTGGTGCAATGAGCGTATGAGCATGTGCTCATAACTGCTCATAACTGCTCATAACTGCTCGTGGACACATCCTCATAGCTGCTCATAGCTGCTCATAATTTATTAGTTGCTCATAGCTGCTCATAGCTGCTCATAGCTGCTCATAGCTGCTCATAGCTGCTCATAGCTGCTCATAGCTGCTCATAGCTGCTCATAATTTATTAGTTGCTCATAGCTGCTCATAGCCGCTCATAGCTGCTCATAGCTGCTCATAGCTGCTCATAATTTATTAGTTGCTCATAGCTGCTCATAGCTGCTCATAGCTGCTCATAATTTATTAGTTGCTCATAGCTGCTCATAGCTGCTCATAGCTGCTCATAGCTGCTCATAATTTATTAGTTGCTCATAGCTGCTCATAGCTGCTCATAGCTGCTCATAATTTATTAGTTGCTCATAGCTGCTCATAGCTGCTCATAGCTGCTCATAGCTGCTCATAGCTGCTCATAGCTGCTCATAGCTGCTCATAATTTATTAGTTGCTCATAGCTGCTCATAGCTGCTCATAATTTATTAGCTGCTCATAGCTGCTCATAATTTATTAGTTGCTCATAGCTGCTCATAGCTGCTCATAATTTATTAGCTGCTCATAGCTGCTCATAGCTGCTCATAATTTATTAGCTGCTCATAGCTGCTCATAGCTGCTCATAATTTATTAGTTGCTCATAGCTGCTCATAGCTGCTCATAATTTATTAGCTGCTCATAGCTGCTCATAGCTGCTCATAATTTATTAGTTGCTCATAGCTGCTCATAGCTGCTCATAATTTATTAGCTGCTCATAGCTGCTCATAGCTGCTCATAATTTATTAGCTGCTCATAGCTGCTCATAGCTGCTCATAATTTATTAGTTGCTCATAGCTGCTCATAGCCGCTCATAGCTGCTCATAGCTGCTCATAGCTGCTCATAATTTATTAGTTGCTCATAGCTGCTCATATAGCCGCTCATAGCTGCTCATGAGTTAATCGGCTTCTGTGCTCATAAAATCCAGTTACTGCTCAATAACAAACCATTTTTACACAATCAGTCCTAAGGGAATGAGCTGCCAGTTTTGCGGGAAGCACTTTAGACGCGGTTACAATCTGCGCAGACACGAACGGGAATATTGTCCACTAAAACAGCAAGAAAGAGGCATGTCTCGAAGAGACTCGGACAGTCAAGAAAGGGATTTGCAGGACGATGTCTCGACCACTTCATCTGTAAAGTCTGAAAGTTCGATGACGACTGACTCAGAAACTGAAGAAAAAATGGATCCATGGATACCTCTAATAGAAGAAGCCAAGCAAAAAAGTAATACAGATTTTCAAGAAATGAAAGAAAGCCTTATAAACACTGGCCTGGATGAGCAATCTGCTAAGGAGAAAGCTTACTCGAATATTATGCCTATACTCCAGAAAGAATTGGAAAATATTTATTTGGAACGCCTTCTGTGGATGAGACAACTAAAGAAAGATCCAGTACATAAGAAAATAATGCACACAAAAGATGCGTTTGTTGAAAATGACGATTTTGATCCAGAAGAGGCAATAGAAGCTGCTGTTGATAAGAGAAAGTTTCTTATTAAAAGGCTTTTAAACAATCACCAGGTTCAGGATGAAGAAGAAAATACAGATAGCGATGATGATAATTAGAAATAATGATTTTCTAAACCATTCTTATTAAGAAACCATGAAAAACGAACAAAAAGAGATAAAAAACGATTTAGAAGAAATTATTATACCAGAAAAATAAATGTTAAAATCGTTATTCCAATGATTGTCTTTGTTATTTCGTTCAACCAGTATGAGCAGCTATGAGCAACTAATAAATTATGAGCAGCTATGAGCAGCTATGAGCAACTAATAAATTATGAGCAGCTATGAGCAGCTATGAGCAGCTAATAAATTATGAGCAGCTATGAGCAGCTATGAGCAGCTAATAAATTATGAGCAGCTATGAGCAGCTATGAGCAGCTAATAAATTATGAGCAGCTATGAGCAGCTATGAGCAACTAATAAATTATGAGCAGCTATGAGCAGCTATGAGCAGCTATGAGCAACTAATAAATTATGAGCAGCTATGAGCAGCTATGAGCAGCTATGAGCGGCTATGAGCAGCTATGAGCAACTAATAAATTATGAGCAGCTATGAGCAGCTATGAGCAGCTATGAGCAGCTATGAGCAGCTATGAGCAGCTATGAGCAGCTATGAGCAGCTATGAGCAGCTATGAGCAACTAATAAATTATGAGCAGCTATGAGCAGCTATGAGGATGTGTCCACGAGCAGTTATGAGCAGTTATGAGCAGTTATGAGCACATGCTCATACGCTCATTGCACCAAATTGCAACCCATTTTGCCTTCAAAATCTACCCAAATCTGATATTAATACTACTTAATAGTTTGGTATTAAAAATGTCTACGAGCGGTTGAGCATGTTCTCATGAGCAGTTACGAGCAATTATGAGCAGTTATACGCATGTGCTCATCGGCTCATTCCACAAAATTGTAACCCATATTACTTTCAAGGATTATTCATTTGCGTAGACGACGTGTTAATCACACCACTTGCACACTCTGTTCATGTGGTCTCACATTCCTCTTTAGCATACCCACGTTTGTCTAATTTCGCACGCCCCTCATTTACATCCACAACGTGCTTTCTCCATGCATATCATTTGCTAGCCGGCCTCATTTACATCCACAACGTGCTCTTCCCACGCATTTAATTTTTCAAGCGCCTAATTTACATCCCAAAAGTAGCCTCTTAGTCCCGATTCGCATGGTCACGACATCAAAATTAATCATGTCAACGGGAGTTTCACCTCCAAACGTTTGGTAGTATGGTTACTTTAGCATGATCTGACAAAAATTCTGGGAGACAAATATACGGTAAAACAACTTAAACTGATGTCGTGACCATGCGAATCGGGTACAGTGTAAACAGGATCTGACTTGATGTGTGCAACCGAGCGAAATCTCTTCATTTACATTTCTTAAGCACCAATGTACTCATTCTAAAATGACTCATTCATTTAAACAAATGTACGGTGCTGATTTAACAATAGTGAAAACTTTAGCCAGAGATGAGATTATGGCTAACATTATAATAAAGTTCATACAGAGGAAGTTAAAATTGAAAAAATCAGCAAAAGGAGCCCAGATCGGTTGGTTGATGGATCTGCGTAAATGAGGCAAAAGCAGAGAAGAAAAAAACTAAGCTTTGGCAAGCAGTTGGCGAAGCATATGATGTGCTAAGGAACCGCAAATCCACAAAACAGAATTTGAACTAATATTCGCGCTGCCATACTTGCAATTGATGGACGTATACTCGGCAGAAAGGAAGTAATTTAGCAAAATGTTTGGAGTATTTCTTGGACTATATTTTTTGTGTTTGTAAACCGAAATATTCCATGTAAGAATAGTCGGGGTTTTTTAAAAAAAAAAGTTTATAGCTACTATATTAAAATTATTAAATGCTTCTTGGCTGGGGTAGATCTCCGTGAACGAGGCAAAAGCAGAAGAAATTTGTGAATTATCTTATAAATTTTATAACATATTAAATTAATTGTAAATGATCTCATTTACACTCTAAATGCATCCTACTGTACACATGTTCAATGATTGATTCCTATTCACGTGATGGAAAATCTCCATCCCACATGATCTATGATCCCTGTTCACATGTACCTCATGGTCATTGTCCACATGAATCATGACTTCTTTGTTCACATGATCCAAGACCCATGCCCACGTGCAAACGCATGGTCTTTGTCCACGTGAATCATGATTTTTGTTCACGTGAACCTATTGTGTCGGCACCCTTTGCTAGCTATATGGGGGGGGTTATCTACTTATGTATATATGGAAAGTCAGTGGTGGGTGGATCTAGGGGTGTGCAGAATAAATTACAGAGCTTTATTTTAAATTCAAAACACTTTAATAACAACGCTGCATGTTGGTTATTGATTCGTAAAGAATATTTTTACATTAAAATATACCACTGATGGACAGGACAACCTTTTCGACAAAAAATATATAGCAAAAGATCGGTGCGTATGACAAATACTGGGGTTGTTAAAAGTTAAACGAACAAGTTAAAAGATCTATATCGTTATAATTATATAAAAGCACAACACATGACAAAATTAGTTAAAATTTATTCAAAGTAGCCATTACGTAAATACTATAATTGTTGACGTTTTTATAGCAAAACTAATCTGAATTTGAAGTCTGGAGGGGAATGAAAAGGGGCCAAGAATGCAAGGAATAGTTCTGTTGATACTTGGCAAGAACTGAGAGGACAAAGCAATTGAGAAACTATTGAAACGTGCATTGTAGCCCCAAAATGCGCGTACATTGGTTGCTAATATGTCGATTTATATGATAAAGATCAATGCTAAATCATGCATTAAATAAATATCGCCTACTGATCTTTGTTTTGTGAACAGAAAGATTTCCTTTAAAAAGAACTCGACAACGTAAGTGCTTTTGTATGTTACTCTTCACCTGTTCATGTGTCCCATGATATTCCCGGCTAATATCTTATTGAAGCCTTGCCCTTAGCAAGTCAATCTATATAATAATTTAAGGAAATTAAAAGAATCCGCCCACGTCCTTGCCAAAACAGACAGATGCATGGAAAGCTGTTCATCATCGTGATACTCGCGCCGTAGAATAGAATTTCACCTCCTCGGTTATACAAAACTCACAAAACCTACCAAGTATTGATAATAAAAGCACAAACCATTGTAAAAGTTAATAAAGTTTTCTTAAAACGAGTTATCTGATTTTACAATGATAAAATTCATAATTATACAACAATGCAATTCTCCCTAAATAGCCAATATAATCGTTGATGTTATCTAGCGACATTAATCTGAATTTGAAATCTAAAGGCAAATGAAACTCAGACAAAAAGAAAGCAAGAATCAATTTTGTTGTTACGTGGCAAGAACTATTGGTAGAGTGCCCTCTCGTTTCAAAATCTGCGTACATTGGTGATCGCATAATTGCCAATATGTCCATTTATATATGATAATTGTATATGTTAATTAAATCATACTTTAAGTAAATATCATCTATACTATTATTAATCGAAAATTTATCCACTGATAATTCTTCTTCGTAATTTCCGTTTCAGCATGCGTCATAATAGAGCAATGATTCCGGAAGATAAATATCAATGATGTTTCAGTGTTTCCTAACTCATATTCAGCCTTCCTGTTGACTTGATAGCATTGACGAAAACACAATTCATCAAAGAAAGGTGAGCATACTGTAGACTCGAAAGAAATAGATTTGGCTTGCAAAGAGTGTATTGTGTACTCGCTAGCTACACGAGCTGAGTTAAAGCAGAAGCTCTGATAAAGCTCTCTATTTCTTTTCCACAAACTATGATCGTGGGCTGCATGTCAGTACGAAAATATAATATGCATTATTTTGTAATTGACTTTTTCTTCCTTTTCAGCTTACCGCGTCAAAGAAATTCTCACAGCATTAACGGTGATCACAGCATCAAGATGGTGCTAAAATCGTTTTCGTTCTTCTTCGGTTTCTTTATATGGGGAGTGCAAAGGTAAGCAATCGTTTCAGCAGGTTTATAATCTTTTAGGACTTTTCATATCAGGGTAATATTCTGCAATTGACTTGACTTCTAAATTATGGTTAAAATGTAATTTCGCATCGAAGAATTCGTGGCTGTCTAAATAACATAGAAAAACCTAAGTTTGCGCGCTAGCAAAATATTTCCATATTTTCTTTTAACAGAATAAATAAATTAGTTCGTCTTGAGTGTTCCCATTTCAAAAGAAATTAAAATCATAATAGCCGCCATTTTACCTACGAAATTCCGCGTGGAAGCCTGGTTCATACCTACAAGAAAGGCTTCATATACCGCCGTCTTTGCTTCACATTTTTCGCAGAGCTAGCGTTCCAGTCTTATTTCAGTTCACTGTCTTAAGCCGGTTTTCCACTAGGCGAAATTTTTCGACCGAACGAAATTTTTCGCTTTATTTTCTTTTGAATTGCGAGAATTCGACCGTAGCGGATTTTAGACACGATCTGCAACTTTAATAATGTCATACAATGTGAATTATGCTAAATTAGAGGTGAGGGTTGTAATTCGGAGGCTTGTATATAGTAGAGGTAGGATATGATGTGTGAAGAGAATGGTTCAAATAAAATGGTCCTGGTAGAGTTTATTTTAATTAATTCTGGAATAATGAAGGTACACATATGGTGGTAACAAATAGACTTTTTACTTCTGCTTATTGCTTTAAAGTGCCTATATCACTTGTGGGATCTTTACGGATTTGAATAGGGCTTGAAAAATTGGTTTATAAGTTCTACATCCTTTTTTGATATAATTAAATAGTTTCGAAAATACGTCGGTTGGGGGGACTGGGACTCAGGAATGATTTGCAAACACGCCGTCTTTTATAATATAAACATGAAGTGTTTCACTGGCGATATAGTTTGCGCTTTTCAAGTGAAAAATGCGGGAACGGTTGTAGAACTTATAAACTAATTTTTCAAGCTCTATTCAAATCCGTAAAGATCCCACAAGTGATATATGCACTTATATTATTTTTCTTTTGTGCAACAGCATTAGCATTACCTTTGACAACGACCCCCAATTAACTCGCTATAATATAAACTTATAAGAAGGAGAAAACCTTAAAAAATCATACGTTTTTAAACATTTGCCATATGCACCGGGTACTTCCCGCAAATTCAAGACTCGTGTTTTAATTAAAACGTATTGGAATTACACGTTTAGCACCACCACGGCTGGAAAGTGTGCTTGTAAATCTGACATGATGAATATAAAGACATTGTTGTCTGAGATGAAATCTGAATTACTGGAACTAAAGAAAACACTGGGGAAATCAGTCGTCTGTATCAATGATTCAAATACAGTGAAAGGTAAACCAACAAGCTCATTTCAGTCATGTTTAATATAACGATGCTTTTCAGTCGTGTTTATCAAAGAACTTGCAATAAGTGAACTCTCAGAAAATGCGGTAAATACATACTATCTTGTCTATCTTATGTATATATATATATGCTGTGACGTAACCGCATTGACTGAGCTGCTTGTAGGCTTTCTTAAAGCATACAGGGTGTATACTGAAAAGGTAATCCAACTTTAACACGCTATTGTGCGTGAACTACTCAGTCTATTCAGAACTACTCAGAATTTTTTTACTCATTAAGAAAGTACAGGCTTTTAACGATGGAATGACATGTTTTCATAACCAAATGGACGTACAAAAAATGATCGGGTCCGATGTTGATACAAAATGTATTAGTAAGAATCGCAAATTTCCACTAGGGAGAGTTTGGGACTAAAAGCATTCAAAATTAACTCTTTGGGACTTAACAAAACTAGTGATGAACTTCGCTTATGAATGTTGTAAACACAGTGCAAGCAGTGCCATGTTTGTCATTAATCGTTATTTGAAATATTTAAGGAAGGCGTTCAAATGGGGGGACGGGACAAAAAAATCCTAGTTTCATATAAACACCGAACGAAAGATATTATACAAACATATACAAGGCGAGATCCCGCGGTCATTGTCTCATCCCGGCAAACATCCCGTCTCAGTGGCGGCACCAGCTTGTTAAGTGGGGTGGACTTATTTATATATTCCAGAGGTACATCGTTTTTCGGTGTCACCACGCGTCCCTAGGAGGCTGTGGAGAAGTGGTGCAAACTAAACAAATAATTATAAAATAAAATTAAAAAATTGTAATGGTTTTAGGTAAACATTGCGCAAAAAAGGTATAAAAAAGGTACAAAAAAGGTATAAAACAGAATGGAGTGTACAAGATAGATCCAGACGGCAAGGGCAGTTTCAATGTTCGCTGTGATATGACGACATCTGGTGGAGGATGGACGGTGTTTCAACGTCGTATTGATGGCAGTGTTGATTTCTACCGAGGATGGCAAGATTATAAGCATGGCTTTGGTGATTTGAACGGAGAATTCTGGCTTGGTCTGGAAAAAATCCGCAGGCTTACATCTGCTTCGCAAAATGAGCTTCGTATTGATATGGAAGACACTTCTGGGAACAGGAAATACGCAGAATATGGTTTATTTGCTGTGACCAGCGAACGCCAGAAATATCAACTTAGTCTTGGGACTTATTCTGGTGTGTATAACAATTAAATACTGTTGTTTTATTAAGCGGTTCTGCTTTATCTTTATTATTACTTAGTTGAAACAAATTAAGATTTTCTATGATTACCCAAATTCTTTAATATCTATCTGTTTTCGTTTTTTTCGCATATTGTGATTATTGTCAAGCAGCAGTACATTCTAATGTTTTGCACGAGCCAATTATTCTAGGTTTTGGCTGGGAACTTCGCTAATGTCCGACTGAGCAGGGATATCGCTGCTAGAAACGTTAATCGGGAGGGTGCATATTAATATTATTCGGGGTAAGGCCGGATAACGATATTTGAACATGAATATACGAATATACAAACGCCCGGCCAAAACTAAGCGGTCTAGCTTCGGCCCTGATCCGAAGTTCAAAAATTTGTGTATTTTAGTATCGCGCGCAAAAAATTTCTAATTTTGCGAATTTTCAGGAACACTTTTTCCAGCTGCACAACTCTGAACCGACGAATTTTTCCAATTGAATATTTGGTTTTATTTGGAATGGTTTATTTGCACCAAAGCATATGACCACTACCATCTACAGGGAATGTTACAATTTTCTAAATTTAATTCAGGCAATGCAGGAGATTCCTTCACTGAACACAAAGGAATGTCGTTCTCAACAAAAGATTCCGACAATGATAGACATAGCAGCCACTGTGCTGTGTCATTCAAGGGTGCTTGGTGGTATAGTGACTGCCATTCATCTAATCTCAATGGTCTTTATCATCATGGTGCATACAACCCATATGCTGATGGTATCCACTGGCGTACGTGGAAAGGGTATCATTATTCCCTGAAATCAACATCGATGAAAATCCGTCCACGAGTATTTGGACTGAAAAAATAAGCAAAACAAACATATTACTTGCCCTTTTAATAGCAAACAATTAAAGCGAACATTTAATTAAATTTTAGATGATTTGATAAATTTTAGATGAAAAAAGATTTTCCATATAACAACGAAATCTTTATTGCACGCTCTGTTAATCCTTTCTTTTTAAATACACTTACACAATATTTCATGTTCAAATTCGTATAATGTGTCTATGATTATATACCCACTAAATACTTCAGGCGAGTTTGCATTTAACTACAGACACCTCCACCGTTGCGTGCTACAACTTTTTACAGCGAAGTGCAAGCACAAAGGTGAAATCTTTCTTTAGAAGCAACCCTTTTACAATTATTGTCTTTAATATAATCTAATTTAATCCCCCCAATTTGGCCACGTGATACGAGCATTTGCCAAGCCCTTCTCTCCACCTCGCCCCCTTCCCACCAAGGCCCTGGGAACGAGGTTGCTATAGATTAATCGCACTTTTGCGGGTTTTTTCCCTTTTCTATTATCTTGGGATCCATCAGTGATTATTTTCCGACAGACAAAGTATGCACACGGATGATCTCAGACAAAGTAATTTCAGACTCTTACGACAAATGTGAACCCATCGCGCCGCAAAGACAACGCTTCAGGAAAAACCTGCAAAAGGATCTATTCATTGAAAACTACTTAATTAAATTGCAGTTCTCTTATGATCTTAGCAGATTTGCTAACTCTATCGAGATAAGAGTGGGTGATTTACTGCGTTTTTTATTCACTTTCATATCTTTGGTAAATTTTTAGTTCTTTAATTTTTTTTAAATTTTTAGTAAATTTTTAGTTTAATTCTTTTTTATTTCTTTTCCCCATTATCTATTTTTTCACATTGTGCAATCGCTTTAAATTTATTTCAGTAGGATTTTGTATTTAACACCAGTTTATACAATGGCTATAAAAATTATTTTATTGCGGATTCTGGTTAAACGTTAAATGTGAATATTTTTCACGTTAATTTTATTTCGATATAGGGCGTGGCTTTAACGTTCTGTCATTTTTCGGCATTCTTTTCAGTTTGCCATTTTTGTCAGCAACGTTTAAATTTTAAACATAAACATTGAATCCACGCGCTAGAAACGTGTCAATGTCTGCATAGAAAGTAGAAACGTCATCGCGCAACCGTTAAAATTAACAAGACATGCAACTTTTCACATTTAACGGTCTACAGACCCACAACGCAGCACAACGCTGCGCGATCTTTTAAACTTTTTTATTTTCTAAAAGCAAATAACGCTTTACCCTATCACTATATTCTTGTTGATTATTAAACGATCGTACAGTTTGACTGTTCTGGAGTCAATAGATTCAAAATTTTTCTTCCAGATTTTAAGTGATGTGCTTCTGAAAACTGAATATTCCTGATGATTTCAGCTATGCATTGTCAGTGTTTTTCCAGTGTATTATAAGATCTGTGGACACTCTTGGAAACTCTTTAAATTGCGGATTGACAAGATTGACAGGAATGAAGGTTAGTTATAATCAACGATTCTTCAACGATTCAACGATACTTTAACCAACGATTGTTACGGTTTAAATGCCTGTTCATACGATCCAATTTTGTTGGATCCAATTCACTTCTGATGGATGAGCAAATCCACTGAAGTCAATACACTTCAATGCGCTACAGCTTAATCAACTTTATTTCATGCGCCAAAAGTGAATTGCATGGATCCAACAAAATCGGATCGTGTGAACAGACCTTTAAGGAGTTGTCAATGCTGTGTTAATTATTTATAATTATGTATGTTTATAACTTATCATACTTATGTGTTACGGTTTTAGCGTATTCGAGAATAGTGACTAGTCTAGTGATTTATATTAACACTCCAGGACGAAAAATTCGAGAGCTTAATTTTCGGTTTGCAATTTGAAAAAACATATATATGCATTCAGCCTATATACTCGCGGTAGTCAAAGGCAAATTTCCGTAAATGAAAACGAAACGAAACGAAGTTGCGATAAATATGGTCTTGTACTCGCTGCATCTCTGCTTTCTGAAAGCTTGCCATTGTGAAGTTAATCTCTATACTAATAAAATAAGCAAATGAATTACTTCTAATATGGTTGGCTCTTTTGTGCGATTTTATTTGCACGCGTTGTGAATGATCGATCGCTACGCTCACTCGCTCGGTTTCCAATCCTTCTTGCGAAGGAGCGCATTCATAAAAATAAAAAAATCTCAAAACTGCGAACTAATCTCCTGTTCGTACACTCTGTGAACATGCTCTCATTCATAAGCTCATAATTATTTCATAATTTGTTAATTTTAACAGTAAAGTAAATATGTGTTAAACCTCATTAGCAACATCAGTTTACAATTAAGGTCAGTCTGTTGAATAGAGGTAAGTCTGAACAATGTTATATTTCAACCTATTTGTTAAATCCCATACACTATCAACTCGTAAACACAGGACTCCCCGCCAATTTTCACTTGGCAACCACCCAGGTCTGTTTAATATAGCGACTGCGTCGGCCCGGCTAGCCGGGCTATATAAACAGCCCAAAGGCAGAATAAATTATTAATATGTGAAAGTTGCAATGTTTTTATTGCGTTTGTCATAGGCCCAGTGTTATTGTAGGTGGTGCATCCATCAACTTTTTCACAGATTTTCGTCATATGCTCGTCATAAGCTATAGTTATTGTTCACAAAATTTGCTCACACATATTATTCCGTTGCGTGATATTCCCCAGATTGTACTCCATAATAATTAACCCAACGGAAATACTCATTTAACTCTTTGAATCTTACATCATAATACATAACTGTGTCCATATATCGCGTATAAGTGCGCGTGGCTGGTTTTAGCTCACTATACGTACTTGTCAGTATACATGCGGGAAGGTCAGTAGGCAACATGTATGGGAAATATTGCCTGATCTTAATTTTGCAGACCTTGACAGTTGGATCGATAACAACCGTTTTTACAAGACCAAGAAACGATTCAGGTTAGTTCTGCCTGCGAATTCTGTGGTTCAAGACGCGTAAGAGTGTAACTTTATTAGAGTGTGCCTAGTGCCCAATGTCAATGAAATAAAAAAAACGTTAATTTTAGCAGATTATTAAGACGTATGCTTTTCGCACTCGAGAATTGCGATGTTTAAGACACATTATATAAGACACATTACATAATAGTAATGCAATAGAAGCTCTAAAACGGTATATAGCCTATATATAACTCTTATACGCCTAGAAAGATTTAGAAGGCTTCTACAATCATACACTCATATTAATTCAAGATAGCTTTTATTAAATAAATACTTTTAGCAAGAGCAATTTGTAAGGTGAATGATTATAAAAAATGAAATTCAATTTGTTGCCATGGTCAAGCCTAGAATACTCATATTTCGAACCGGTATACAATTGGCAAGTGTTTGCAACACGAATACTTAATCGCAGAAATTTTTGACCTTTCATTTAGCCTATTTCATTCATGCACGATTGAAATTGAATATACACCGACTTATGTGCGTCCCCGGCGAACTTATTACGTTATGATGTAATCATTTGCATGTTTTAAACAAAGATATCTTCATTTCTCCGAGCCTACAATCAACCACGCAACAATATATAGAAGAATATTGTTAAAAACGCTTAAAGCATTACTTGCAATTATGAGTATTTTTTCCTATTTGGTCAATTTTCTTGAGGAGGTCTCTGGTTTTAAATGGCAATATATCATCTGGCTTTGATATAAGCATAATGACCGGATATTTAAGAAAGACACACACTATACAGAGTCAATTAAGACTAAAGAAATCAATCGAGTGAAAGAAAGGAAACAATTGAACCTTCATTTAAAAATACATTAACTTTTTCGCTGTTATCTTCAATATCAATTGGAGTATAAGTATAGATAACTTCGCAGTTGCAGTTGAACGAAGCATCAGAATTTTGATCTGAAGTCAATCGGGGTCACTGCATGTTAGAGTTTAGATAGCCAGGTTCATATATATATTCAACTACTAATATATTATATCTACCGCTTGTTGATCTTAGGATTAGCGCCTAATCGAATATCTTCCATAGCCTTTCATTGCTTCAGGTATATAGGAGAAAAAAAATAACATGATATAGTGGGGGAAAGCCTGGTTGCAGGATTTTTTACGCGATCAAAATTGAATAAAACATCATTTAAATTTAAAGGGATACGGCAATAAGAATGATCTTTGTCTATTTTAAAAGAACGTCATGATTATTTATAAAAGTCGTTTACGGATTTTTGTTAACTTTATTACTTCTCAAGATATTTTCGAATGAAATAATCTTCTATCCGCATTTTGGATATGCATACTCTTGCTCTGATATGCGTTACGGCATAAGCTGGGTGAAAATTTGTTTTGCAACTTCAAATTACCGATCCAATGAAGTGATAATTCGATGGTATTGCAATCGCTCTTATCTGAAATTATGGCGTTTAAATTGTAAGAGTTTCAAACTGAACCTTAAACATGTAATGGCTAATTTCTAACCCTGCATTTTGACATCACGTAAATAGACCTGATTTTAAAACAAGATGGCGGATATATTTAACAATTAGACAACGAGGCGGAGTTGTCTATGAGCGAATAGTCAACGAGGCGAAGCCGAGTTGACTATTTGCTCATAGACAACGAGGCCGAGTTGTCTAATTGTTTTAGTATAAACTATAACATTAATTTACAACTAGGAAACACAATACAAAAATATTGAAACTGAAATTTATTTCGTATATTAAAGGGAAGAAAATATTTTAATTGTTGTTCGCGTAAAATGTTTTAAAATTCAGTTTAAATATAAAAATTCAATTGAGTATACGTTATTTTTATGTATTTTCTTACCCTTAAAAATTCTTACCCGTATTTTGTTGCTTTTTTTGTTTTTTCTGGTACGGAATTGTCCAACAAGTCGTCCAAAAAATCTTCAGATACTTCGGCGAAACGCGAATTTTCCGCCATTGTTTTGAATTTTGCTACTAGTAGGCTATCACTAATAGCCTACTAGTAGCGTAGCCAATCAGAACGCAGGAAAAGTGATAGCCTATTAGTCAGTTTATACTAAATCTCGATAGTCGATGCTTTTGATCGCCATAGGGAAGATAAACAAATTTTGTCCAAGGCTCTGTAAAAAATGCAAATTTTCTTTTCAACAAAACAGAAATAATTTTTATTGCCATATCCCTTTGAATTAGTGAGATATTTTTGAGAGACATTATGTTCGGTCATTCTACACAAGACGGCAAGGTAGTGTTTCAATGAATTATCTAGTGATCTGTCTATCTGCTTTCATATTCGGATTTCGTGAGGTCGACAGTTCTGTGATAACAATTTTTATTGAATGTTAATGCTGAGAATGGATCTTTATACAATCAATCTCTCTCAATTCATACTTCTTAGGTAACCACTCGAATCTCTTTTCAAAGTCTCTCAAAAGTGAAAGAATATAGGAACAAGCAAATTCTCTGTATATTACCTTCTCTACGTCAATCCTAGAAGTGCGTTCTTTGTATATCAGAACCGTTTGCCACAATCAAAGTAATATAATATCTATCTTGTGAAATTCTTTGCGACAACATGAGTGTTTTTTCTGAAATAATTCAAAGCTTATTTTGTCAGGTCAGGAAACGTAATATTTCTGAAGATGTGTGGAGCATATTACTTAGACCAATCAATTATTGCACGATGAAACTCATCTGAACTCATTCTACGTTAACATGACTCGCGGTTAGTTAGAAAACGTGGGAACAAATTGCACGGCAAAGAAACATGATCTTTTTAACCCTTGCCAAAATGAAGTATGTAATGTAATCCAAGTATAACACAGGAATCAAATATACATATCGCTGTAAATGCAATGTAATTATACTCATGAAGTTTTGAATAATAAATTAGAAAAATAAATAATTAAATTGTAGAAGCATTACGTGTACCTGTTTTAAGCGGAGCTTTCGGTCCGTTAACCCGGGAATTGCACTGATGAAGGGCCGGTTTAACCGACCAAAAGCACTGCATATAACAAATACACGTGGTGTTTTTGTACAAATTAATTGATGATGTTATATTTTATTGCTTGTAAGATTTGACTGGTTGCAACGTCTTTAATCGTTAATGACCAAGAAATCAGGGTTCGTCTTATTAAGCTATATATTTGCACGAAGTAAATGTTTCCATTGCTTTGTTGTTGTCGTTGCTGCCCAATTAGCGAAATTCCAAAGTAGAATTTTAGACTTTCGGTGAAAAATAAAATTTAGTATAGTGGAACTAAATCGTCGGCTGGCAACGCTATAGTTTATGTACAATATTTATAGATGGGTGCTCGTTCGGGCGAACAACGAGGAATTTCGTTTTAAATTAATCGGCTTATGTGTTTACATTTTGCAACCTAAGCCAATCAGAATGCCTAAATTTTTATACTGTACCTAAGAATGCATTCTGATTGGTTTACTGAAATTGTAAACAAACTTGCTGATTGGTGTAAAACGAAATCTCCCCTTGTTGTTTGGGCCTTTATATAATGAAATCTATGTTGGAACAGGAGGCAACCGATTCGAATTAATAAATAAACTGTTATAAAACTTGACTGGTACAAATATCAATATATTAAAACCAAGGGTACCGGTTAAGCTAATCACCTTTTGAACAACTCCCTCATTATTGTCATACGTTGTTCAACAGCAAGTATAGAAAGAAGAAGCGTAGAAAACATCACCAAATTTCACTAAATTTTCCATTCACTAGGTTCTCATATATTCAACAATGACGTCTCAATTTCCATGTCGATCAGAGCAAAATTGAATGGAACCTCTATGAAGACAAATAATGTTGTTAAAAATTCACACGTTACCTTACATTGCAAAGTTTCATTCAATAAAAAACAACAATATTTGTTTAACTTGATGTTGGTCAGCATTACGTTCCCCAATGGTGAAAATGTTGTTCCTGGAAGCTGTACTGTGGATATGGAAAAAGCTTTTAAGCGATGTAAAATAGTAATAAAGAGAGTATCTGCAGGTGACCAAGGAACATATCGTTGTCATGCACAATATGTATCTGGAAACGAAATAATTGAGAATTATGACGACATTATTCTACGTAAGTATATCTTTTTCAAATCATTATAATTTGTTCTTAGTTCTCATCTAGATTCAGGTTATAAAATATTCCGACTGAATCATGCAGTTGCATTGAATAAAGGCTGTTTACAATTTGTTGCGATTCCCTTTTTTCAATAAATACACACAAGTGTTTTTCCTTTTTAGTGTTCATATAAGGGCTTGTATTCATGACTTTCATAACTATTTGCTCTTTTGCATCCATCAAATTATGAGTAGATAATAGGAATAGCGAACATACGATACGTGGTATTAAATTGAGTAGTTGAATAATGATCCCTCATTAAATATTTTTTTACAATACAGGTGTAAGGAAATATTTGGGTCCTGTATCGACAATACCCCCTTTTGAAAAGAAGAGAGTTATTGTTACCTCAATTCAGCATGTTGATCCAAACCCCACTCATCGTCCAGGTAACGTCGTGTAGTGTCTAGGATGAAAAGGTTTACGCATGCATCGAAGGTTGGAAAAAATTTCAGGATAGTTTTACCACATGGATCACGTAGAACCCTTCAAAATGACTAAAACTGCAGTGTTGCATGTTATATCGCGTTTTAAACTTTTAATGAAGTCAAATTTAATTCTTATGTGCTTGTCTTGGATGGATTTGGATTTTATGTTTTTGTTTTGAAGCAGAAACCACAAAACATTAACCAGGTTATTATTTTATACCAGTCGTCAAACTAAGACGCCAAACTATGCGTTTCAAGTTGAGCCATCGAAATATAGCCCAGCAAGGATTTGTTTTTGATTCAGAGAACGAACGCGCGTTGACCGGCTTGCGTTTTTATTGATTAATAATCACGTTACCAAAAATGTGTTGGTGGGTGAGGTGCATGGAATGAAGAGTCACTAACATTAGGTCAGGGCATAAATAAAAGAAAAAGCTGGACAACTAAGACTAGTATCAGCTTGGGAAAATAGTCCTGATCACTTTCTCAAAACTGAACATATAGAGAATAATACGTGGATGGCGAAAATGTGGAGTTTATTTGAGTGTTGAGAACGTTTTGCAGCCCTTAAAAACTCACTCGTGCTTGCATGTTAATCCGTAATTGCACTCGATTGAAATCATACTATTACGTATACTAATTATCGTTTCCTTGTTACGTTCAGAGCTCCGTAATCATTCGCTATCCCAAGTTACCCACTACAAGACAAAGTCGACATTATTATCTACAGGTTATGTTCTAACCATAACAGGAATGGTACTCATATCAATTTGTATTGTCGTCGTTATTTTGCTGATTAAAAGAAAACGGTGTGGCCTCGTCAAGAAGATTAACGCGCATGCTGATGTATAATGGTTTTGACATAATGTGTATATTACTAGAGGTTCGGTGTTCTTAATAAACTATGAATATTGAAATTAAGGACTTCATCTGAACTTTCTTCAATTACATTTGAAATAATACCCTACACCAAAGACTACAATATATCAATGCGATTATAGGAGTACAGATTCCACAGGGTATAAGAGAAACGGAAATATTATAGTTTGCATACGTAGACGCTGTAAATTGGATTTCAACGCTTGTGCAAATAATTACAGTATTGCTTCTGGCACTTGAATGGTTCAGATAACCAATGAACAAAGAGCGTTTATCGTCTTAAGATACGCGCAAAATCAAAGTTCGACTTCAGTGATACACTTTTTACCTTTCTCTTTTTTGCTTTACTAATCTACTAATACGACATCCCCGATCGTAGTAAAGAAAAGCGACCGTGTACATTTCTTGGAAAATTTTAGGACTTGAAAAACAATATAATATTAATTCACACTTCTAGTATTATATACGTATTCTGTGCATTTGACCAGGCCTAGACTCGTTGTGTGAAAACGCGCACAGCTTGTTTTACATTAGTAACAGATGGAACAGAGATCTGTCTAATATGGCGTCATAAATATGGCAACCATATTCGTCGACACCTCCCACTCAGTTGCAAGGCTCGTAGAGGTTCTATAATATAGAGAGTTCTTATCACGCCACATGCATGTATGAGCAGCCTTTTTACTATTTCTATTACTATTTCTATTCATTTTACTATTTTGAAATTTACTCCAATAATATTTACTGCTGTTAAACTGCACCAATCAATGCATTTATTGGTGCTTCCGCATGTCAATTTTTTATAGTCATAATCAAACGCGTAATATTGTTAGTCGTTTGATAGTAATTTTGAATAATTAAAGGAAAAACATCGCAGTCGCAACCGCGGAGAGTACAGGGTTTCCCATTCAGTTTATACAACAGACCGGAATAGAATCGGTCATTCGCTTGTTGGTTGAGGTAATTGCAATGTTTGCTGTTGTCTTCTGATGCCTGGTTTACACAAAAGACGTTTGAAGGCTTCTCTGTATGTTTGGTCCAGACAGGCGTAAATTATTGGATTGCACATACTGTTCAGTAATGGAAGGGAACGCGTTGCAAACAACAGTATGTATATGAGGTAAATGGTGCCCAATGAGGAATCTCTTACATCAAATATTTTTGAATGGTAATTCGAAAGCAATATTATTATGATCCAAGGTGCCCAGCAACACATGAAAACTCCAACGACAACCAACAACATTCTAACTATTTTTAAATCTTGACGAAATGTACCTCGTTGGTTGTGATTGTTTATTGTTTGACCAAGGTCCCCGTTTAAGAACATCTTTTGTCGTTTATGAGCAACACGAAAAATGAGAACGTACATAATCATTATGAATATGGTGGGAAGAATAAACGTACTTATTGCCAAAAAAGTATAAAAAACTTTCATTTTATTTAATTCGCCTTCTTTTCGGCAGGAATCGCCATCACTGTTCACAAATCCTCGGCTGTCAGCGAACGGAGTGGCGGCGTACGTGGCAATGGACGATGAAATGAAAAAAATCAGGAAAATTATTTTTACGGATCTGGAAGTTGTCATTCGTGATTTATATTGAAGTGGTTTGCTGATTTTGAGATATCGATCAAAACTGATGAAAGTCAGTGTGTAAATGGACGTTGTTAACGCAAAAGTGTCAATCCACACTAAAAAGCGACTCAGATGAGCAGACATTGTGCGTAGAGATTCAATGTCGAGATTTTGTTTGTACAATTTCAATGGTATCACCAACACACCAACGAGAAGATCAGCCACAGCCAGAAAAGCAATAAAATATTTATTTGGTTGATGAAGACTTCTTTCTCTCCAGGTCACAATCAAGACTAAGGTATTTCCCAGAAGTGTAAAAATGGTGATGGAAATTAACATAATTCCGAGTGATAGAAGAAGTCTTCTATAAAATTCCTCAAAAATGGACAATTTGCTGCCTGTCAGCCATGTTTGATTACAATCGTTGTACTGTGTACCACTGATATTGATTGGCAGCATTATTACAGATGTTGGCCCTATCAAAAATGAAGATAAAAATACAATTCCTTGAAGCCGATGTGAAAATTAAACTACGAGAAACCACCGTGCTGGATATCCGGCTATAGTAGCAAAATATTCTATACAGCCTACGAAATATTCTGCTTATCGCGCAGAATTTTAGATATGAGAAACTGACAAAGTCGCACATAATAATCTTATAGGAACAATATAGTTGCATATTTTTCGCAAATGTTCCTGGTCAACAACAGTTATTGAACAAAGAACAATAATTATTCATACTATTGTAATTTAAGGATGAATATAATCATTATGATTAAACTGATGTTAGCTCAAACAAAATAATCGTTATCAGCCCAGTTCAGACGATTTTCTCTCCATTTATGTTTTAATACATACAAACTATTATGAAAATAATTTAATATACCTCTTTATTTAGTTTATTATGATCACTAAACTCTCAGCTTCATGTTTAAAATTCTTTCAAACGAAGATCATCTTCAACGACATGTTCACAAAAAGAGCGCTTCTTAATAAAAGAGACTCATATACTGATATCATCATATCAATAATTAATTAATGTTTATATTATTTCATTCCAAATTGAATTTTTATAACGTTTTTGTAAAGAGTCACATTTTAGTTAAAATTTGAATCATTGATTGACACTATACAATAAATATTTGCATATATACTAATGGTTCAGATAAAAGTTCAGATACTATACTTTTATATTACGACGTATACCTGTATTAGTCTTACTATTTCCTGAAAGTTGGGATTTCGCAGAATCAATTGCCGAGACATGGGCTAAATTTTCCACACTTTTATGCCGCCTGAACCGGAGAAAATTTATTCAAAACTATGCGTAAACAAGTAAAAAAGTAAATAAAAATGAAAACAAACAGTGAAACAATGAAAACAAATAAAAATAAAAGGTTGAGTTTATTGCATATCTGGCGAAATTGTGTCGGCAGAACTGTTTACTTAATAAGACGAAATGTCTGTTTATAATCAGAATACCCGAAATTAAGTTGAAATTTTCTTATCAATTAAAGACATTCGAATGTAAATTTACCGCTTTTACTTCAACCTAACTAAAGGACAAGTCTATATTTGTGGTATTATTCTTGGTTATTTTTGTCTTATGTTAAGAAAAACGCACTCATAAATTTTGCTCACCGAAAGCCGTGCAGATACTGTATACAAGGTTTATGAACTAGAAGTTCTTATCAGAAGGAAAAATTGCTGTCAAAGATACATAATTTAACTGCGAAAATGAAGAACCAGTAGCATAAGGTTGATTAATAATACCTGTCATGGTTATAAAGCAAACTTTGATATGTAAAAATCAATGAAAAAATATTGAATTTATTCAATTTCCATTGAATATTTCCATTGTATTCAATATATAAGAACAATAAAACTGATAAGACTAGATTGTATGTGGAAGTTGACAGTGGCCATGCAGGTGTTGCGGTGGCGTTTTGCTCCTAGAATATAGTATTGAATACCTATTGAACCACATAATAGCCGATAAACTCAGGAAAGCATGCCTGTAGACTAAACAATAAAGATTTACTCCATTGATGTATATATGCATTTGTGTAAAAGTAGAAAGAGATGTCTCTATTTTGAATATTTCGATCTTCGGTTCCGATCTTGCTTATCAAATATCATTTACAATATTCATTCGCCTGAATAATATATATAGCGGCAATATCCGTATCCTTATTTTTTTACTGTGAATTAAAACCATACAGCCGATAAACTCATAGACATAGAAGCACCGCTCTCGATTGACAATAAAAGTTCACTTGCTTTGATGTATAATATTATGTTCATACGCGAGGTTAACCATATAGCGAGAACGTAAATCAGATCTAAACATAAATGTGTCAAGGCAACTGCCTTTATTGCAACTGAATCGTGATCACGAATCTAATAAAACCACTGTAATAAATATTATATTCAGCATTTCAATCCGGCATTGACACTACATTTTTTGCATAATATATTAATTTCGAGATAAACTACTTAATTCCGAAGTACAGATAATATCCCTAAAACACACAGTCTATTATTAAAAATGTATTATTGATGTACAACTGCACACACGTTACATATAATCGTTTGCTGTTGTGTAAAATCCATTGCAACAAGTGCTATGCCTATGGGGAAAATGTTTTACACCTTCATTGCACCACTCCTGCGTAAACAAGTTAATAAAATAGCAAAGAAAGGTCAGTAAGTTGTGTTTATTGCAATTTGGCGAAATTGCGTTCGCAACAGTGAAACACAGTCTTTTTATTAGGAGAATTAAGAAGCAACAGTAATTTTAATTAAGAATGGGATATTTAGCCTCGTTATATTTACAGAAAATTTGAAGGTGGATTAAAGACTAGTGCTAGCCTACCTTTTCTTCCATAAGCAATTCTGACTTCAATCTGTTTACTAACACTCGTACCAAGAGAAAATTGTTCTAGACTAACAATGGAAACAGCTTACCAGCTGCTTTTTTTAGAATGGATTTCAAGACTGACTTTTTGCCCAAAGACTGCTTTCCTCTTACGTCGCGTTTATCATACTATCATATCGTAAAAATCTTCTGCTAGGCAAATTTACTAAATTTTTCAAAAAAACTGTCAACGTCTGCTCCACAGAGATAAAGAGAGTATAAGGCTATATGTGCACACGAGTGTCGTTTTCGAGCGTTTTCAAAATCGTTATTTTCCATTTTATTTTATAGACGCCCTGTCCACACGATCCGAGGAAAAATATGACAAATATGTTAAATTAGCTTCAACTTCTACGGTAAATTGACGGTGTTTGAGACCGTTTTGGCATGAAAACGAATGTGAAAACGCTCGAAAACGTTACCGTGTGCACATAGCCTAAGTTAATAAATAACTGCATGAGCATAACTAAAAGCAAGCTGGACAGTTAATTTTTTCTGATATTACCTTCGTTTATAGATATTATGCTGTCTTTCGTTCTGTTGTGAATGCTCCACTGTTAGTTTTTATATACACTCATGCAGGCGTCCCTTGATCAATATCAATCAATCTTAAAGATCATAATAAAAAATAGTCTTCATATTATATAAATAAATACGCATAATTCTAACTGAGGCTTCAATTAGCGGAATATATAGCATGCATGGTCCCC